CCCCAAAACCCCAAAACCCCAAAACCCCAAAACCCCACAAGTCAAAAATATTGGAATAGTGGGATATATGATATTTAAATAAGCAATATTTAAATTAGGAGGTATAGTTAGTGAGTTAAAGTATGGAGGGAAATTAATGAGATCATTTTGTTTTTAAATTTTATAAAACTATAACGCAGCACATAGTGATTATATCAGATTTAGTTCAAGACTATCATTTAGTGGCTCTCTTCTTTCCACCAGCAGACTTCTTGGCTGATCTCTTGCCAGCTGATTTCTTAACTGATCTCTTGGCAGCTGACTTTTGTGGGGTAGCTTGGGCTGAAGCACCTTGAGCTGGGGCAGCAGCTGGAGCGGCCTTCTTGGCGACTCTCTTGGCAGCTGGCTTCTTGGCAACTCTCTTGCCGATTTTCTTGGAGGCAGCGGCTTTCTTGGATACTCTCTTTACGACTTTCTTTGCAGCACCTGCGGGTCTTGATCTTGCTATATCATAAGTGGTTAATATCGGCAATCATTCACAAGAACAATTCTGATCCTTTAATTCTAAAAATCACTTATTACTACTATTGCAACTGAGAACTTAACTTTAACAATTTATCTTTAAATTCAGCTTTATCAGATAACTCTGATAAATTGAAAAGTCGGTCAGTAGTAGCGTAAAGTGATTAGAATTAAAGGTCAGTGATGAATATGAAACTTACCCATTGTGATTAGTGAGATATAGATGATTTACTTTTATATTTTTAACCTGATGTTTATATAGTGGTAATTTGTTTAATTCTTAAATTTTATTGGTATTTTAAAATATATCTCACAAGATTTAAGATTTTAGATTCATATCTCAACCAACAATTATCATTCCTGGTCTCCTTGTCATCGCAAAATCTTTAACTTATTTAAGCTGTGCATCATATTCATCTATTTTCATCAATAGAAGGGCTAAAAAGATGTTTAGACTAGCTGGGTAGCCATCTAATAGAGGATCATAGGTTATGAGGAGATGCCGCTGTTAAGTCGTTAATGAGAGTGAGTAGTCAGTGTATTAAAGTTTAAATTCTGATTAAAATATTTAGTGATTAACTTTTAATTCAATTCCTAACATTAAGAATTTTCAAAAATATTCAACTGAGTAATCTATCGTTATATTCAGCACATGAAACCTAATATACTCAAGCAATCAGATCATTCCTACTCATTATTAGCAATTATTTTTATAATAAACCAACCTTATTGACTTCATTTAATTACTTTATCACAAATTTCTACATTGATTTGAGTTGATGGGGTTTTGGGGTTTTGGGGTTTTGGGGTTTTGGGGTTTTGGGGTTTT